CAGTGGTAGCAGACAACAGAACAAGGAGTAATGATCTCAAGTTGCAGTGGGGGAGGTTTAGGTTGGATATTAGGAAAAACTTTTTCACTAGGAGGGTGGTGAAGCACTGGAATGGGTTACCTAGGGAGGTGGTAGAATCTACTTCCTTAGAGGTTTTTAAGGTCAGGCTTGACAAAGCCCTGGCTGGGATGATTTAGTTGGGAATTGGTCCTGCTTTGAGCAGGGGTTTGGACTAGATGACCTCCTGAGGTCCAATATTCCAACCCTAATATTCTATGATTCTATGATCAAGCCACCGCTGGTGTTACAGATGCAGGCTCACATACCAGGATCATCTTTTTAGAGGAGTGCTTACTCCTGTCTTTTGGTGCCAATGACTCGGTGCCCATGCCCATTGGGTCCATGTGCCTGTCAGCAGTACTGGTTACTGTTGATGTCTGTGAGCTATGGGTGCCAGTCTGAGATGGTCTCAGTGCTGAAGATAGCGACAAGCAATCACCATCTTGCTCTGTATCTTCGGACTCATGAAGGGGGCTTCCTGCTCTCTTAGAAAATTTGTGAGAGGGGTCTGCAGCCTGCTTCGACCAACAGCCCTGAGATGTAGAAGGCTGTAGGGAACACATGTCTACCAGGTGACTGGGGTTGGAGAGCTGCAGCCATGAAAACAGTCTTCTGGCAGAGCTCTCTATTTTTGTGGGATCCTGGCCAGAGCTGTTGGCAAAGACCAACTTCTGTTGTATGTGGCCTCCCCCGAGGCAGTGAATGCATGGAGAGTGTTTATCTGCGATCAGGATTGCCTCTTTACAAGTAAGGCACTTCTTGAAGCCTGGCAAACAGAGCATAGGCTGTTGGTGGAAAGGGCACCTGACAGGGGAGAAAAGGTGGGAAGAAAAATAAAGTCTATTTTTAAGAAAGAGAGAGAAAGAGAAAAACTACAACTAGAATTTTAACTAGGAGACTACGATGGATAAGTAGATTAAAATAAGTCTTAATAGACTGCTAATGGCTCCATCTCTAGCCAGGGTGGTTGAAAAGGAACTGAGGAAGGTTAGCCCACATGCGCTGGATAGTCTCGTGGCGTAGCACAAGGAGAGACAGCGCATGTGTGGGCTCAACGGACACTGCTACCGAAGTTCTCCGATCAGCAGCGCAGGGATGCAAGCACACTTACAGTGGAGCACGCATAAGAACTCTACTTTGAAGAGCAACTTTCCAGGTGCAATCATTCTGAACATCCAATGTATTGGCACTCAGAACACTATTTACTACTCATTGAAACAGCAGTAGTGATTAACAGTGCTAAAGTTAAATAACTCCTAAAGTTATTCTGCAACCACTAAGCCGAATGGCTAGTTAACTGAAAGGGGAGAGACTAATGCCCCAGCTTCTCAATGACACACTGTGGACCTCACAACAAGGTCACGTCTCTATTTGCGTTGAGTACCTCAAGAATGTTGACATTTACAAAGAGCACGAAGACTTATGAAGACAAAGCAAGGAATTTTAAAGACACTAAACATAAAATTAATTGAAGGTGGTTTCAGAGGGAACTGACAGATTACATGCTGACAATATTACTGTCAATACCAGTGAAAATCTGGCTTAATCTAATTAACAAAGAACTGGAACCACACAAGAACAAAATCAAAAAATGATTCAGACATGTATCATGTTTCCATTACTTAACCAACATGCCCTATGACATGTACAAAGGTTATTGGTTAAGACCAGAAGAGAAACTGAAATATGGTTGGTAGTCAGAAGCTTCTTCCTGCTCTTCTAGCTTTTAAAATTGAAAATGCAGCCCCCCAGGAAAAATTCTACCCAAAAACTACCTATGCAAAGGAGGTTCTGATTGTGCAGGGGTGGCCAATCTGTGGCTCCGGAGCCACATGCGGCTCTTTAGAAGTTAATATGCGGCTCCTTGTATAGGCACCGACTCGGGGGCTGGAGCTACAGGCGCCAACTTTCCAATGTACTGGGGGGGGGGGGGTGCTCACTGCTCAACCCCTGGCTCTGCCACAGGCCCTGCCCCCACTCCACCCCTTCCCGCACCCTCCCAAGCCTGCTATGCCATCGCTCTAAAGGTAGATATGACAGAGTGTAGGGCATAACTGATTAGTGGACTGAGAGCTCAGCTGTTTGTACTGTGTTTTACTTGCAGAACTACAAGCATTTCCTGTAAGAACAATTTCAGCCACACTGCTGCTTACTGACTTAGAGTATCTTTGTCCAATAGCCCACTGAAATTAGAAACTTTTTTTTAAAAAACATACATGGGCTCTGAAAGTATGGAATGGATACATAACCCTCAGTTTCACAATTTATAAGGGAGAGAATAAGTAAATTCTCTCAATAGTCAAATTGATATTTGCCCTGTAAGTCTCCTTTTGCTGCTGCAAGTGGCTAGAGTAGATGATAAGTGAACATTTTCCCAAACAGAACCCGTCACTTGAAATCAGTCAGAGGGCACCAAAGCCATGCATCCAGGTTATTGCTGTATATTTGGTATCTTCTACTGTATTCTTGTAATGAGAATAACAGACACCGATGCCCATTGGCAAATCATATTGAAAGGCAGGTAGGACAAAAAGTAGCCACATTTGCACTGCATGATCCAGAATCTTCTGGATTGGTATGGCCAGAAGATTTGTTTAACCATAAGAAGCACTACAGTACCATCCCTTGAGACTTCCATTATTAGACCAAGAACAGGATGGGAAAAATTATAGTGAGTGCACTGAGAGATTTCACAGCTGAGTGGTCTGGTAGCAGAAAAGAAGTTACTTATATCACCACTCTGAGTACAATCCTAAGGGAAGGACCTCATCCAGCTGAGTTTCTCCCAATAACTCCTGAAATATCAAAGCAGAACAATAGTATTCGGATAACAGTAGCAAACGTTGCAGGAGCAGCTTGTAATATGAGAAAACACCTTCCCTTCATCAATGGACAAGAAGTGGTAGCCCATCTGCATATATAACACAGTTCATGTTCCAGCATGAAACCTGATTGGGAAAGGTCCGAGATCTCAGCAATGTACAGGAGTAGTTGAAAACCACTTTCAAGAACTATTTGGTTAGTTTGCTCAGGAAAGAAAGGTTGGATACTAGGTGGTAATTTGCTAGATCCAAAAGGTACACAGGTGGCTTTCCTGATTATTGGCTGTGGTTGTCCATCCAGAGTCAGGCCTTAAAAGCTTGTGGCTCCTCAACAGCAGCTAGGCTGCCCTCACTCAGAGGATGGTAGGAAAACAGAAATATGCAGACTGTTTAAAGTTAGTCTAGTAGTGATATTTAGACAAACTAATCACATCTGCATTGAAATAGACAGTTCAATTATAGAATGAACTGCCTACAGGATAGTCTCACTGTAGCCTTTGAAGAATTCTAAAAACATCTGGACTAACAGACTTGAGATTATTCCTGACTTCCCATAAGGACCCTGAAGTCAACTTCATAATCAGATGCATCAGGATGATCTCCAATGCAGGAATCAAAAATATCAATGTTTCTCTGGGAGGAAAGTTATGTGAGCACACTTGGAGCAGTACTAGACTCTCTCATTATTCAAAAAGCACGGGAAGGAGGAGACGGGGGGGGACGGGACGGACACAGACTAGTCCAAAGACCAAAAAAGAAAACCCCAAACATCAAATACGCTAAAGCAGAAATTATCAAAATGAATTATAGACTACTTGCTAGTGGTCCACGGACAGGTGGCTTGGCACATTATGCAACCTTGTCCTTTCTCCTACCCTGCTCCTTATCAACTTAAGTGCATTAAAAGAAAGCTAAAAATATATTTCACACTTTCTTAATATCACTTTTCCATGAAAGCACTTTCTCTAATTGCCACAGGAATGTAATACCAGGAAAACAGGAGAAAGTCTGCACAATTACAATTCAGAAGGGAGGTGGTCTGTAAGATAATCTCTATATTAAAATGTGATGCACCATACAAAAATGTTTGAGAACCTGTTGCAAGAAAAAAAAAAAAAAAAAATCAAGAAAAAAAAACCCACCAGCACTGAAAGGGGCTCAGATATTAGCCTTTGCTTTTGAAAAGAGGGACCAGCTAACAATGTTTTTCTGTTTCAAGGCCTGTACGCATACGAAACCAGACCAGAACCATTGTATCAGTAAAGAACTCCTCACCATTCATCTAAGAAGAGGATCTGACAATAAAAGCAGTTGGGAATGGTTGCAACTTCATAAGCAGGGAAGCTCATGCCATCTGGTGATGAAACAGCTTATTGCCTCAGAGTTTTAGCTATGGTGACCCGTAAAGTTTATTGTGAGCATGGACCCAGTATTTTAATCTTAAATATTCTAAGGTATAGGTGTGGATTTAATTTGAAATTAACTCCTCTTTAGCCCACCTTTTTGTTTTAGATTACTATGGGACATTCCAGAGTCCAGACAATAATTCTAAACAGACCGCTATAAAATCCAGAAGTAATCTTTTCTTCTTCTGCATTTCACGTGTCCCCAACCTGCTCTCTGGTTCATGGTTCCCGCCCTTGGAAGATCACTACATTAAATCAATCAGGTCTATACAAGTTATGTATGTTTACACATTTTCAAGATGTATATTCTTCAGTACAATAAAATTTATTCTGGTAAGCCCTTTAAAAAGTTATGTATACTCATTTGATAAGTGTGTCGAATTAATATCCCAATTACCTTCAATAGAACTGTGTTGCATGTCTCTACCAGTGTTTTAAATCAGACTGTGAAACTGGCAAACTGAGTATTTTAGAAACTCTTCAAATCTGTTTAAAGATACTCCTTAAATATGCTCAAGTTTTTAGTGCTGAAAAGGCTTTCAAACCATTTCTAGCACAGTATGATTACATAAGAATGTCTCAAACTCAAGGAAACACTGTTTAAGTTTGTCTCATATGTACATTTGAACACGTTTAAATAACTGGTAATCCTAACATATCAGCCTTCTATCAAAAAGTCTGGTACAGTAGATAAACAGAGATTAGACCTTACCTCATCCTGTATCCCACTCGTGGTAGTTAATTTACTCCCGTCAGTAACTGTTATAATTATTGCTGGCTCCAGAAAAAAAGGGTTTCTTCCCTAAAAGAAAGTGTAATTACATTAGAAATGCTACATTCAAATGTAAAAGGTTCTTGCTTAAACCCACAGTGGTGCACCAATGGCCCAATCCACCACACACTGAAGTCAAGGGAAATATTCCCACTGACTTCAGAGAGTGCTGGATTGGGGTTGTAGGTAGATGGTTTGGTTCCATGGCAATACTCTAGGCTATGAATAGGTTCCTCAACCTTTTTACACCTGCAATCCTAGAACCAATATATATGCTACATATACCTAAAATAGGCATTTAAATTTATTAACTATACATTTCATAATGTCATATGTTAAAGTAACAAAAAAATGTTAGTCTTTTTGAGAATTTCATTAATTGCACATATGCAAATACTAAATGTTCAATAAATCCAACAGTGTAGCTGTTAACAAGTGGAACATTATCTTCATAACCAGAAGATCTTGTAACTCCCTCCTCTACTACCAATCAAAAATTAAGATTTTCAGAATACTATACAATCACAAGAAAACATCTTCACAACCTAAAGGTTGAGAACTAATATTCTAGAAACAGAATTTAGAACTGGGTGGTCCCAGTTATTTGGGTCACATTCCAACCAGAGTGATTTTCTCTCTCTTACGCATGCACACCCACACACCTGTTTCATTAACTATTCAAGTCTTCATAAACACTGACAAGCTTTCTACATCAGCACCATTTAAGATAGTGTCCAAAATTACAAAAGACATTTTGTGACCTTGTCTGTCAAAGTGGCTTGAAGGCCTTGGGGTCCTGTTCAACTCATAATTAAGCCTTGACAATCAGACCACCTATGCTGCCACTGGCACTTCCCATTTCCACCACGAGACTGCCAGGAACCTTCAAGAGGAGGATCTAGCCAGTGTGTTCCATCCATGCATGCATCAAATTCAGAGTGGGTTACTATAATTCACTGTATCTGGGGTTGAAAATGGAATCCTGTGACAGCACCAGGAGCATCTCTCTCTGTTCTTTCTTCTGTCCAATGGTTTCCAGTCTGCTTCTGTTGACAAGTTTGAGAAATCTTTGGCTATGTCTACACTTAAAATGTAGCATTTTAAGTGAAAGCACTTACTGCAGCAACTGGAGAAGTTCTCTGATCGCTATAAGTAATTTACCTCCCTGAGAGGCAGTAGCTAAGTTGACAAAAAATTCTTCTGGATTTTTCACACCCTTGAGAGACGAAGCTATGTTGAGAAAACTTTTCAATGCAGTTCTGACCTTTAAAAGCCATAACTGGGTCAGGATTCAGCTATATCAGAGACTACTTCTCCATCCATAATCCACCAAAACAGCTGTGCTCCTTTGGACAAAATAGTTACAAAACTCAGGTCAAAGTGTTAGAGAAAGCACTCTTAGTCCAGGGATTTAGCTGTGCAGTGACATTCCAGATATTAGACATTTCCATGATCTGACCATTCAGAGCATGCTGCAAGACCCTCCTCTTTGATAAATCTTTCTCACCATAACCAATATATAAAAAACCTCTGTTTTAGGATAGAAATGCAAAAGATTCCATGACACTGCTCTGGACCTCATCATTCAGATTTAGTTTTGTATTTTTTACACAAAAATTTAAGAGCTACAGGTTAATCCTCAAGATATTTTTCCTAAATGTTTAACAGAGACTTACAAAATTTAATATTTTATTGCTACAGAGAACTTAAAACCTCAAGCACTGAAATTAAACAGTGAAGATCAATTTCTTCTGAGGGAGAAACTACATTATAAACCAATTTAACATTCATAAACTGTTTTAAGTAAATGTCTAAAGTACACATTCTTTTTATTCAGTTTGCCAAGATCATCCAGTCTTGTTTTTAAGTTCTAAGCAACAGTTGTGGTATGCTATCCTGTCAACTAGTAGTTTATTACAACTGTGAAGCAAAAACTGAAAGCTAATTATGTTGCAGTTCATTTAATTTAAAACAGATTTCATTATTACAGGAGGAGCTCTGAATCACTAGTAAAAAGCATTTGTACTACAGCTGATGAAGGAACAATGTCAATTTATACAGCAAAGGGACAAAAATATCTTGACCTAATCAGTATCATAAATGACATTAACAAGAAAGGGAACAGTCAGTCTTTTTCATGACTATTTGTCCACCATGTTCCACATCTAAACTCTTCCAGATCAGCAATCCTGTGTGAATCATCATTCAAAGTATTAAAAGAAACAAAGAAAGTAGTGTAAGAGGAACAACCCAATTTTTCAAAACTTCCTATTTGGATGCTTTTATGTATCTCTAACGGACGAAGTATTTTCTCCCAGTCTTATACAAGCGTTGGTGCCCCTATACTCTAGTAAAATCCAGGCTTACCTGCAACTACTTTGGGCCTAAGCCTGAAGACATTCAGGCAAACTTCCCACTGATTTTTTTTTTTTTTTAAACTGATCGAGGAACCTTTCTTGCCTTTTAATTTCACAAACATTTTAGCTATAAGACAGCTGACTACGGAGGTACTTATTCAAGAACTGACATTGTTATTACAGCTATTTACCTAAAAGAACAAAAATCTATTGTTCACTAGCAGAATATGTAAGAACAAATTATGCTTAAGGTTGCTGATCTTACACACCTTTATAGAGATGACTAGAACAGTCACAACTGCCAAATCAGAATTCTACCTCCTTGTAATGGTGTCGGCACCCGCCTCTCACGAGCGCCCCCTTTCTCTGGCCAATGGTTCTGTCGGCTGGTCTTCAGCGACTCACCCTCCAGCTGAGCCATATACACTGTCCCCCCTTCCAAGGTAAGCAGTCCCAAGTTCTTATCATGGCCCTGGTATGGGGCCATATCTCTTAGGCTTCTTCCTAGAGGCACTGCCTTCTTCAGACACCCAGCTGTGGCCCATCTCGGTACCCTCAGCTGGTGTCCTTTTCAGCAGTCCTCCCTGGGCTCATTCTGCAGTCAGACCAGCAAAAACCATCTCGGTACTCTTGTCTGGTCTGGCCAAGTTCTGTGCTTAGTCTGCTCATAATGATCTTTTGATGGTCCTGCTGCTCTTCTATCCAGCCAGGCACTTGGTCTTTGGCAGCCTTCCCTGGACTCGGTTTGTCTGGTGAGCTCTGTGCAGTGAGCTGTCCTTGGTCCAGCTGTTCGTCTAGCCAGCCAGGCACCCAGTGCTCCCTCATTGAGCTCCACACAGCAACTGATGGCTCTGCTCTGCTGCTTGCCTTTTATCTCGCCCTTCTGGCCCCTTATTGGTCGTGCCGGCAACCCCTCTGATTGGCTGCTCCTCTGCAGCCACTCTAGGCTGCCTGGAGGACTTTTCAGTGCTCTACTCTGGGACAAGGTGGTGCAGGGCTGTGAGGCCTGCAGCAGGTGACCTCCAGACCTAGTCCACCCAGCCACACTTCTGCAAGGGTTGATGACATTGAACTGGTCTACACTGATGCTCTATAATTTAGATGCTGGATATATTTCTTGGAAGTCAAAGACTGTAGATTAATGCAACAGCTGCACTTCAGTTGTCTAGGAGACCACAGAACGAGGCTAAAGATGAGCTGAGTTCAGGACCCCACGTACCTCATGCAACAGTTTGTAACATCATGAACACCTACAACACTCTGCCTTAAGGAATGATATCATTTACAATGGGTAACTATTGGGAAAAGATTTCTGCTCAAAATGTTTTTTTATTAAAATTTCTCTATTTTCTGACCAATTATAGATGTCATCAACTCTTTAAGGAAACAGGGCAATCCTGATTTACCAGACATGACTTTTCAGTTCATCTGTAAGAAGGTATGCAGGACAAGCAACTTTAAATCAAGTACTGTAAAAAAAATATTTAACATAAGTTATCAGAAGTTGCAGGGGACTAAAAAGTTGCTTTTTCACGTAAATGGAAGGCTATACCAAGCTATTTATTCCAAGGATGTCTCGGTAGAATTTTATTTACTTCTCTAGAAGTCTGTTTCCAATTTCAAAACAATCATTCAAATCCATTTTGTCACTGGCCTTTGTCCAATTGAGTATTAAAGTCCTACACAAAAATATACTTATCCCAAAAATACCAAATCCTTTAATAGACTTAAGATGATATTAAGATAGACTGTTATGACCATTGAAGGTGAATATGTATATCATATCTGTAGAGCTTTAAACATTAATTTGTTATATTTAATGCTGTACATAAGGCTGGCGAGAAGCAATGAACAGCAAATTACAACTCAGCCTGCAGTAAACTGAGAAATTTACTTAATCATCATCTAAATAGGCTTGCTCACAGACAAGTTCCTTAAAGAAGGTGCATTATTGATGATTCTAGTTGATGAATTCAGAGTGGCAACTCACTCCTGTAGAGACTTCAATTGATTGTGTCAAATAGACAACTAATTAGCTCAGCTGGCATTTTTCAATAGCTTCCAATACTCAGTAGCTACTTCTTATCTTGAGCAACTTCTTTGGAATAATTTTCTTCCTACTCTAGAGCCTTCTAGTAGGGGTGGAAAGAATACCCAAGATCGAGGAAGAAGCATCTGATGGCAGACTGACTCATTCTATTCCTTTAGCAGATATTATCCGGGAAGGGGAGAAGTCTAAATTTCTCCCCTTCACTCACAACCTGCACCATCAAGCGCAGATGTGTACTGAAGTGAAAAGAAAAGGTAGTTGCTCCATTAGCTCAGCATAGCAAGTTTTAAAGAAAATTCTATTTGAAGTTGGCATAAATAACAGGGAAAACTTGAAATCTGTTAGACTAATATGAAATATACTGAAATATACTGGGAAATGATGGCCTCAAACTCTTAGAATGAAAGTACCAGTAAAACAGTAACAAGTTAGTATCTTAATTACTGTTAACACGATATCCCAATACATCACACAAAAAATGGCATGTTTTTTTGGCCCACATCATGAGGCAATTAAATCATGATGTTAGTTACCACTTTACCAAATTGGGGTATGTAGTCCACTGATCCCAAGGTTCCTTGATCAAGCAGGGACTGGGAACTCTTTGCAGAGCTCTTAAATAA